TACCACAAGTTGCCATAACAAAATGCCACAAAATGGGTGGCTTTAATGAACAGAAATTTATTTTCTCAAAATTCTGGAGGTTAGAGTCCAAATCAGAATATCAGCCATGTCAGTTCTTTCTGAGGGCTTTGAGAGAGGAACCGTTCCATACCTCTCTCCTAGTTTCTGCTGGCAATCTTTGGCATTCCTTTGCTGCTGAGATGAATCTGCCTCCATCACCACTTGGCGTCTGTGTTTCCCGTGTGTGGCCCTGTTTTTGTGACTGTTCTCCTCTTTTTAGAAGACACCAGTTGTGTAGGATTAGGACCCACCCTACTTCAGTATCATGTGGTTGACTGATAACATTTGCAAAGAAAAACTTTATTTCTCCAAACAAGGTCCCATTCACAGGTACGGGGGTTAGGACTAACATGTCTTTTTGCAGACACAGTTCAGTCCACAACAGGGCCCAAGGGAACCTTTTGGGGTTCCGGAAATGTTCTGAGTGGTGGCTGTGCAACTATGTATATACATTTATTGAGCTGGACACTTAAACAATTAGTGTACTTTTCTGTCTGTAAATTATACCTCAATTTTTTACAAAAAGTGATGTTTTCAAATCCCACATAAAACTGTCCTTTCTCCCTGACCATTTTTTCCATTTATTTCTAACTTTGACATTATTTTTCACCTTTTGATCTTTTTATTCCCATTAATTTTCAGAGCGATTATTCATTCTTACAAATAACAGATGTTGGTAACATTAAAATATGTCTGTCTCATCATGGACATTTCATAGTAATCAGTAAACGTGTATTCCTGCCAGTGCTTAGCATTCTACTATATATTTTCACCTAGATATACTATTATCACCTTAGACTCATCTTCATTAAAGAGCTTTGCTTTCCAACATTTCCTTATCTGTCAACCATAATTTCCATCATCTCTTCTCAAACCTAGGAGTCATTCGATTTTTTCCCTCTTCTTCGTTCCTCTAGCCAGTCATTTTACCAAGTCTAGTTGATTCTTGTTTGTATCAGTATTCTGAATCCATCTCCTCTTTTTCCATTCCTGCTAGTATCAACCTACATTTAGTATTTTTACTAAGGTGGTTTATGCATTACTTCATTCAATTCTCACAATAGCTCTCTGAGGTATTATAATTATCTGAAGGTAATTAACTTGTTCATACTCACCAACTGGTAGGTGGCATACCAAGTGTACAAATCCAAGACCACTATTCAGTATTTTATCTCAGTTGTTTGAGAGTATGGACATTTTGAAAGTTAAATAGGATCACAATAGAAAAAATAAAAAATAAACACTCAAAGTTTCAAATAAAACCAAAGCCCACTGCCGTCCAGTCAATTCTGACTCACAGCAACCCTATAGGACAGAGTTGAACTGCCCCACAGGGTTTTATGGAAGCAGACTGCCACATCTTTCTCCTGCAGAATTTTAGATAGGTTCCCCAAATTACCACTTCCTTTCTGGGAGAAGCATGTGTAGGGGATTAAAACACAAGCTCTCGAGTCAAATATCTAGTTTGCGTCCTCACTTTACCACTTACAGGCCATTAACTAAGCTTCAGTTTGCTCCTCTACAAATGTAAGATAATTTGGTATCCACCTTCATAAAGTTGTTTGTGATAATTGCATGAGATTTTATATATAATGAGTTACTAAGCATAAAAATGCTCATTGTGGTGCCTGGAACATAGTAAATGCTCATTGAAGGTTAGCTCTTATTATGATTGCACAGCTTGGTGGTGTTTGGACATTTTTAGCTATGGGCTCTTGTTTGGAACACCAATGTGTAAAAGAGAGAAAAAGCATTATTTCATTAGTTAAAATTTATTTATTATTTATTTATTATAAAGACAATGAGTGAAACATTTGTGTAGAGCACAGTAAAATGTGTGTACTATTTTTTGTTACAGTTTTTCAAAGGATCAAAAATAATATTTAAGCTTTGGTGTATTCTGCAAACTTTTTTTTTCAGTCCTCTTTTTTTTATTATTGTGCTTTAGATGAAAGTTTACAGAGCAAATTAGTTTCTCATTAAACAATACACATTGTTTTGTGACATTGTCTACCAACCCCACGACGTGTCAACACTCCCCCCTTCTCGACCTTGGGTTCCCCATTGCCAACTTTCCTGTCCCTTCCTGCCTTCTTGTCCTTGCTCCTGGGCTTATGTGCCCATTTAGTCTTGTTTTGTTTCATGGGCCAGTCTAATCTTTGGCTGAAGGGTGAACCTCAAGAGTGACTTCAGTACTGAGTTAAAAAGGTACCCAGGGACCATAATCTTGGGATTTCTCCAGTCTCTGTCAGACCACTAAGTCTGTTTTTTTTTTGTGAGTTAGATTTTTGTTCTCCATTTTTCTCTAGCTCTGTCTGGGATCCTCTGTTGTGATCCCTGTCAGAGCAGTTGGTGGTGGTAGCTGGGCACCATCTAGTTGCGCTGGACTCAGTCTTGTGGAGGCTGTGGTAGTTGTGGTCCATTAGTCCTTTGGACTAATCTTTCCCTTATGGCTTTGGTTTTTTTCATTCTCCTTTGCTCCAGATGGGGTGAGACCAGTGGAGTATCTTAAATGGACATTCACAAGCTTTTAAGACCCCAGGCATTACTCACCAAAGTAGGATGTACAACATTTTCTTTATAAACTATGTTATGCCGGTTGAGCTAGATGTTCCCCGAGACCATGGTCCCAGCCCTCAGCCCAGTAATTTGGTCCCTCAGGGAGTTTGGATGTGTCTATGGAGCTTCCATGACCTGCCTTGGTCAGGTTGTGCTAGCTTCCCCAGTATTGTGTACTGTCTTGCCTTCACCAAAGTTACCACTTATCTATTGTCTATTTAGTGGTTTTCCCTTCGCTCCCCCGAAACCATCAAAGATTGTTTCTTTTTGTGCGTAAACCTTTTCATGGGTTTTTATAATAGTGGTCTCATAGAATATTTGTCCTTTTGTGATTGACTTATTTCACTCAGTGTAATGCCCTCCAGATTCATCCATGTTGTGAGATGTTTAGCAGATTCATCATTGTTCTTTATTGTTACGTGGTATTCCATTGTGTGTATGTCCCATAGTTGTATTCTGCAAACTTTGGAAAGTAACTTCTTACCTTATTGAGTCAAATTCTTTTTTTTTTTTTAATATAATTTGATTTCTCTTGTTGAGACATACACCAATTCAGCAGTTTCTACATGTACCATTTAGTGACATTGATTACATTCGTCGAGTTGTGTAATCATTCTCACCCGCCTTTTCTGAGTTGTTCCTCTCCCATTAATGTAAATTCACTGCCCACTAAGGTTCCTGTCTAATCTTTTAAGTTGCTGTTACCAATTTGATCCCATATAGAAAGCTCTTAAAAGAGCATAATGCTCAAGGCAGACCTTTTTACTAGTTCAGCTAAACTCTTGTTTGGTTTTAAGAAGACTTCAGGGGATGCTTTTGGTTTAAGGTGTAAAGATTATCTCAGGGCAGTAGTTTCAGGGCTTCATCCAACCTTCATGGCTCCAGGAAGTCTAGAGTCTGTGAGAATTTGAAATTCTATTCTGCATTTTCCCCCTTTTGGTCAGGTTTTTTCTATGGAATCTTTGATCAAAATGTTCAGTAATGATAGCTGGGCACCATCCAGTTCTTCTGGTCTCATGGCAAAGGAGGCATTTGTTCATGGAGGCAATTAGCCACACTTTCCACATCCTCCTCCTATTCTTGTTGAGTGAAACTCTTTTACCTGGTTTTCAGAGTTTATTTAATCCAACCTTCTCTTTCCCCCAATCTGAGTTTGCAGCTCAAAGTGTTCTCAGTAGAAACTCACATCCATACTCCCCCGTCTTCATTGGTGGGTTTTTTTTTTAACCTTAATGTTCATTCTCCTTCTTTCTACTCTTCCATCATTAGGGCCCTGCTCTTTTCAGTTCATTTTTCACCCAGTGTCTGGTGTATTTGTGGCACTTTTTCTTTTTCCCTCTATTCTCTGTAATTGTTCATAAAATTCTTCTCAAAATGTGGATCACAAACTATTTTTTTGTGGTCCACAATGAGATACAAAGCTTACATCAGAGTGTAAATCAGCTATATCAGTAGGCATGCTGTTTTGTTCAGCTTTTTTTTTTTATTAAGCAATACATTCTTGATGAAGGAAGCAGTGCATTGATTTATATTTTGGTGCAAACAGATGCACCAGTGCAGACAGGAACTCAGGAACTAGTGACACAAAAAGTAGGAATTCCTACAGAGAAGTAGAAATTCCTGCAGAAAAGTAACAACTGCATGGACTTGGTTCTCTCGGGGGTGGCAGTAACAGTTCCAGTGGTGTCTTCACAAGACCAAATTCTGCTGCAATTTTGGGTATCTTTTCTGGTTGTGTGTCCTGTAAGTCTAGTTCTGTGCCATCCTGAAGATTATTATCCACCAGATATCTTTTCATAAATTTATTTTATACTAAATTAGCCATACCAAACCCAAAACCAGACCCACTGCTGTCCAATAGATTCCAACTCATAGCAACCCTATACGATAGAGTAGAACTGTCCCATAGGGATTCCAAGGCTGTAATTCTTTACAGAAGCAGACTGCCACACCTTTCTCCCATGGAGCAGCTGGTGGGTTCAAACTACCGACCTTGTAGTTAGCAGCCAAGCACTTAACCACTGTGTCACCAGGACTCCTAAATTAGCCATAGTCGTTTTTATTTTTATTGTACAAAATGTATATAACAAAATGGTGCCATTTTAACCATTTTTAAGTGTGCAATTCTGTGACATTAATTGCATTCACCGTGTTGTGCACCATCACCATTAGCATTTCCAAATGTTCGTCATCACCCTCAACAGATACTCAATATCCTTTAAGTAATAGCTCCCATTTTCCCCCTCTCCTCCCAGCCCCTGGTAACCATTAATAAAGTTTAGTCTCTATGTGTTTGCCTAAGCTAGATCATTTCATAGAAGTGGGATCATACAGTATTTGCCTTTTGTGTCTGATTTATCTTCACTCATCATGTTTTCCAGGTTCATCCACGTCATGGCATGTATCAGAATTTCATTTCTCTTTATGGCTGAATAATATTCCATGGTATGGATATACCACATTTTGTTTATCCATTTATCTGCTGAGGAAACACTTGGGTTGTTTCCACCTTTTAGCTATTGTGAATAATTCTGCCATGAACATTGGTGTACGAGTATCTGTTTGAGTCCCTGCTTTCAAGTCTTCTGGGTATATACCTAGGGTAGAATTGGTGGGTCATGTGGTAACTCTATGTTTAACTTTTTGAGGAACTGCCCAACTGTTTTCCACAGTGTCTGTACCATTTTACATTCCCACCAGCAGTGCATTAGGGTTCCAGTTTCTCCACATCCTCACCAACACTCGTTAAATTCTCTTTTTCTAGTAATTGCCATCCTAGTGGATGTGAGGTGGTATCTCATTGTAGTTTTGATCTCATTTCCCTAATGACTATTGACCTTGAGCATCTTTTCATGGGCTTGTTAGCTATTTGTACGTCTTCTTTGGAGAAATGTCTATTGAAGTCCTTTGCCCTTTTTTTTTTTAAAAAATTTTTATTTTTTTTGTTGTTGTTGAGAATATATATAGCAAAACATATACCAGTTCAACAGTTTTTACATGTACAATCCAGTGACATTGATTACATTCTTTGAATTGTGCAGCCATTCTCACCCTCCTTTTCTGAGTCATTCCTCCCCCATTAACATAAACTCACTGCCCCCTAAGGTTTCTATCTAATCTTTTGAGTTGCTGCTGTCAATTTGATCCATATAGTTTCTAAAAGAGCATAATGCTCAAGGCAGACATGTTTTACTAGTTAAGCTAAACTATTGTTTGGTTTGAAGAAGACTTCTGGGGATATTTTTGGCTTAAGGTTTAAAGATTATTTTAGGCAGTAGTTTCAGGGGTTCATCCAGCCTCCATGGCTCCAGAAAGTCTAAAGTCCATGAGACTTCCCCCTTTTTAAATCAAGTTGGTTGTCTTTTTGATATTAAGTTGTAGGATTTCTTTATGTTTTCTGAATATTAAACCCTTGTCAGATATATGGTTCCCAAATATTTTTCCTCCATTCTATAGGTTGTCTCTTCACTTTCTTGGTAAAATCCTTTAATAAATAAAATAGCTGCAGTAGCTTTTTGTTGCTTCCAACTAAAAACCATGACTGGAAGTATGTATATATATATTAGAAAAACTCATACTATTACAGTTAATTTTTTCAAAGCTGATTACAAGCAAATGTTGCATTCTTGTAAGTAAATTTGCACACAGAATTTTAATATGTTTTAGACTTACTTTGTGAGATATGTTGTAAACAGTAATGATTCTAAATAATTATTTTATTCTAACACATTTTAAAATTTCAGTGTGCTTTATGGACCATGTGCTGCTTTGTATGCCTGAAATACTTGAAATGCAGATTTGGAGAGACTGAGCCATCTAAATGCTTGGCTGGATTAAGCGCCTAGTTAGAATGGTGTTTCAACAAGTTGGAGTAAGCATGCAGTCGGTAAGTGCACAGAATTCATTTTTAAAATCTAGACATTTATTTATTTCAAGTATTTTTTTTCTGGGAAAAAGTATGTATATTTATATATGAGCAACATTTTAAATTCAGTATGGTTACATACTGCTATTTAATTTGCTTACTGTTTAAATCATAGAAGTAAATTTTTACCCTGCATACTGAGTTAAAGGGGTTACTTTTGGGGTTACATGGAATGTGACCATTAAAGCAGTGCGTTTATTATTAGTGAGGAAAAGTCTTAAATATATATGGGAATCAGTGAATAAAATACATTTGACTAACACTTGACAACTCTGAATGTTGTAGAATTATTGATAATGAATGTTGTTACAATATGATATACCACATATTTTTAATAAATAAAAAAGTCAAGTTTCCTAAAATATAGCAACTATGTATATGGAGAAAAAAGTTTTAGTATGATACGTTTACTCTGTGTCAGAGATGTTAGTTTTGATCTTGATGTTTTTACAAGAATTTTCTCCTGATACATAAATTTTGGTTCAGATCCAGTGTAAAAGTGTTACAGCAATGCCAAACGTATTTTTTTTTTGTCTTTTTTTTTTTTTAATTGTACTTCAGGTGAAGGCTTACAGAACAAATAGTTTCTCATGAAACAGTAGTACACGTGTTGTTTTATGACATTGGTTAACAACCCCACAGCATATTAACCCTCTAACTTCTCAACCTTTTTTTTTTGGTGAAAATACACCTAGCCAAAGATACACCATTTCAAAAATTTCTACCCGTACAGTTCAGTGACATTGACCGCGCTCTTCCAATTGTGCTGTTATTCTCACTTAAGATGAAGGCTTACAGAACAAAATAGTTTCTCATTTAACCGTTAGTACAAATGTTGCTCTATGACAATGGTTAACAATCTCACAACACATCAACAATATCCTTACTCAGCCTTGGGTTGTGCCAAGCATATTTTGTGGAATATTTGTTTTTATTTTCAGATTCAGTGTTTTCATGTTTTGTGACATGAAATTAAATTTTATTCATTAAAAATACAGGCTGGTTACATAATTTGGATATATTCTTTAATGTATTGCTTTCACTTTTCTGTTTTTACTTTGTGTCTTTTTCACCTCTTATAAGAGAAAGTTAAGCTTTGAATCCCACCCCTCACTCCCAATCTCCTCAATGTTACAACTATTGTCTTTGAAAGTAAAAAGCAAAGAACCAAATTACTTTTGTTTACAGCTACATAATTTTGAGATTATTAGCTGAGAATAAGCAATAGGAAAATGGCTTGTACAGTTATTATTTTTATCTTTTTTGGTTACATGTTCCTGTGCTCTGGACTTCACTTAGTGCATGCATACCACCTTTCTTGTTTGCTGTTTACCTCTATTTGTATAATAGGGTAGATTAACATTTTAAATACTGACAGCAAAATTTTTTTTTCTCGTGTTTCCAGAAAAAAGGGATGCTTTTGTTATTTATGATTCCCCAAAGGGAACTTAAAGTATTTTTCTGTAATTCCTATTTATTTATAATTTTAGTAAGAAGTATAGTTTAGTGGAAAGATTATGGGTCCTGGATGTAAGCAAACCTGAATTTGAAATTTATTTCTGCCAGTTACTGGCATAGAAGAATGTGAAAGTCATTGAATCTCTTGGAGCCTCACTTTCTTCATTACAAAAGAGAGATAAGAAGAACTACTGCAGGGTCAACCTGTGGATTAAATAAATTACAGTCCTTGTGAAGCACCTAGCACAGTGGCTTGTGTATGGTGTAGGTATACTCAGTAATGGCTAGTTTCCTATGTTTTTGCTCTCTCCCCCACTTCACCCTCAAGTCAAACTAGTGTGACTAGTGCCAGTGAGGCCAAAGTGCAGAATTCCATGTCAGTCGGGATTACACAGAGAACAAGCTTTGTTTAAATATCTTAGGCTTTAAAATGGGTGCCTTTGATCAGAGAATGGACCAACTAAGAGTGCATTAATTTGCTCCCAATGTTGTAATCAGAACTCAGGCCCATTCTTACTGATAGTGGATAAACAAGGTCATTTCTTGTGTATATTAAGGGTAACATAGTCAACTTTAATGAGTTAGCTGAAAATGTATACAAAAACAAGTTTTCTTTTAACCTAAAGCAAATTGACCATTTGGAGTTATAATCGTCTATCTTAGTTTCTAAGATCTTTTAGCCTGCTGCCTAAGAGTAAAAATACAAAAGTATAGTCTATGAAGATTTTATCTTTTGGTATCTGAAAAGAAAAGAATCTTTCTTAGCTCTACATTTCAGTGATAAATATGTATTTTCCCACTGGTTTGATATATAAATGAAGTACTGTATTTAAAAACATTCCAAGGGCAGAAATTGCCTTTACCTTTTACCTATTTTATCTGCTTTAAAAACAAAAACAAACAAAGAAAAAGTGGTGTAAATAAACCTATCCATCTATGAACAATTGATTTTTGGCAAGGGTGCCAAGTCTATTCAATGGGGGAAAGAATAATCTCTTCAATAAATGGTTCTAGGACAATTGGATCTCCACATGCAAAAGAGTGAAGTTGGACCCATACCTCACACCATATACAAAAATTAACGCAAAATGAATCAATGACCTAATTGTAAGAACTAAAACCATAAAACTCTTAGAAAGAAACATAGGGGTAAAGCTTTAATAAACTAATTCTTAGATATGACACCAAAAACATGAGCAACAAAAGAAAAAAATAGATAAATTGAACTTTATCAGAATTAAAAACTTTTGTGCATCAGAAGGCTTTATCAAGAAAATGAAAAGACAGCCTACAGGATGAGAAAAAATATTTAATAAGGGTTTAGTATCCAGAATATATAAAGAATTCCTACAGGTCAACAACAAATAGACAACCAAGTTAAAAAGTGGGCAAAGGACTTGAATAGATGTTTCTCCAAAGAAGATATACAAATGGCTAATAAGCCCATGAAAAGATGCTCCAGTGTCAGTAGGCATTCGGGAAATGCAGATCAAAACTACAGTGAGATACCACCTCACATCCACTAGGATGGCAATTACTAGAAAAAGAGAATTTAACAAGTGTTGGTGAGGATGTGGAGAAATTGGAACCATTATGCATTGCTGGTGGGAATGTAAAATGGTGCAGACACTGTGGAAAACAGTTGGGCAGTTCCTCAAAAAGTTAAACATAGAATTACCATATGACCCAGCAATTCTGCTCCTAGGTATATACCCAGAAGACTTGAAAGCAGGGACTCAAACAGATACTTGTACACCAGAGTTCATTGTAGCGTTATTCACAATAACCAAAAGGTGGAAACAACCCAAGTGTTTCCTCAGCAGATGAATAGATAAACAAAATGTGGTATCTGCATACAATGGAATATTATTCAGCCATAAAGAATGAAATTCTGCTATATGCCATGACGTGGATGAACCTGGAAAACATGCTGAGTAAAGATAAGTCAGACACAAAAGGCAAATATTGTATGATTCCGCATCTATGAAGTTATCTAGTTTAGGCAAATGCATAGAGACCAAAGTTTATTAGTGGTTACCAGGGGCTGGGAGGGAGGGGGAAATGGGAGGTGTTGCTTAAAGGATACTGAGTTTCTGTTGCTGGTGATGACAAACGTGGAAATGGCTAATGGTAATGGTGCACAACATGATGAATATAATGTCACAGAATTGCACACGAAAAATGGTTAAAATGACACCTTTTTTGTTATATATATTTTACCATAAAAAAAATAAAGGTACAAGCTTTGAGAACAGGTTTTTGTTTTGTTTTGGCTGTTAGGACAACCAGTGATGATCAGCTCCTTTTTTATTTTACTGTATATGTCATCCCTACTGTAATCACGACCAAACTACCATTAAAAAAAAAAAAAAAAAGAACAAAAAACCTGCTGCTGATTGACTTACTATGCCAGTGCCTACTGTGCCTAATGCTTTTGTATCTATTATGTATGTTCACTAGAACAACTCCGTTTTACAGATGACTGACCTGAGATCTAGAGTGTTTAACTGATTTAGCCAAACTTACGTGACTAGTAAGTGACAGAGCTGTAATATGAACCCATGTCTGATTCCAAAATCCCTCCTCTTTTTAGTGTACTTTTGCTACCTTTTATAACAGAAGGGGAAGAAGACTATTAGTTTTTATTAAAGGCATTTTGTAAGTACCTTAACTCATTTAATGGTCATAGACTCATGAAGTAGATATTGTCACCATTTTACAGATGGGAAATAGAAGCATAAAAGGATCAGTAATTTGGCCAATTACATATAGACTGCAAATGGGAGAACCTCCTGTCATAGCCAGGTCCATATGCTGCCATGGCCTGTATGTTTTCTCTTCACTGCCTTCCATTTTGCCTCAATATTGTTTGCATTTAAAACCATATATTCACGTCTGTCCAAACTTTCTCCTAAATCTGTACTTCGTTCCTAAGCAAAAGTGCTTTGAAACTAATGAAATTAAGAATAGTATGAAGCTATGTGATTCTTGACCAGGCTGAGTTTCGTTCTGTTGTACATGGGGTTGCAATGAGTTGGCACTGACTCGATGACACCTTACAACAACAACACGTGATTCTTAGTTATCTCACGGTTTTATGTTGACAGAAAGTTATAACTAATATTTGTGTTAGTAACACATTTCAAGTAATACTTAAGAATTGTACCCTTGTTTTCCTTTTGTGCTTTGGAGAAATGTGAATGTAATGAGTTTTAGAGTAAAGCAGAAGAGAACTGAGGAAAGTGTTTTCTTTGGTTTGGGATTTTGGAATTGTTAATAGAATTTAATATTCTTATCTCACCCTCAAACCTTCAAAACAAACTTTTTACTTTACCCTGGCTCCCTTGGAATTAAGAATTTACACTTTGATGGGTCATACATAGGCTGCTTGAAAATTTGATTAATGGTATGAATCTTCTTCCCAGAAAAATATTATGTATACTTAAAATTTCACATGTAATTTGAGGGGTACATGAACTCCAGGATAAGAAATCCTGCATTAATATAGCATAATTTATCTTGACACAGTGGCTGCAACAATGGGCTCAGGCATAATGACTGTGAGGATGATGCAGGACCAGGCAGTGTTTCATTCTGTCGTACGTAGGGTCGCTATGAGTCGGAACCAATTAGAAGGCACCTAACAATTTATCTTGAAAGTAGTATATTCACTGGAATTACATTTATAGTTTTTCCTGCTAAATAGTTTCTCTCAAATAATGATCTAGATCAAGCCAATTTATAACAAATGGATTACCACATAAAGCTTGGGAGTAGTCAGCATGGATGAGACAGATGACAGCTTCAGATTCAAGCCTCACACTTTAACACTTCTACAATAGCATTTCACAATGTTAAAAAAGAACAAATTACTTTCCTGTTGTCATCCTCCTCCTTGCTGTCATCACTTTCAAACACTCCTGCTAAATGTTATGGACTGTCATTACTAGACACAGACGTGCATACACATACACATTCACAAACACACACAGATTCATTATTAGTATATTTTATAAGCAGTTTTTATAAAGCATAGTTTTTCTGTTTAATTCTTTGTTAATGGAATTGAATTGTCGACTTCTTAATGAAATCAGATTGTCTCGAATGACATTTTTTCTTCCTGCTTTCTCTCTTAATCTGAAAAAATACCAATGACAGTTTATCTTTAGAAGGAGTCTTCCCCATCTACAGGTTTAGGGTTGGCGATCCCCTTGGGTCATACAGCCTCCTAGTGCACAGACGGTGACTTTTCACTACCATCTGTTCACTATTTCTTCACAGACATTTACAGCTTCTCCCTCTCCATAAGGGCTGAATGGAAAAAAAACCCTAAAGTAAGACCTAGTTTTAGGATGTGAGCTGCTCTTTCCCCTTGCTTTTTTCTACCATTCAATAAAGGCAGTGGCCCCTCTTCTTTCCAAATACTCCAGTCTTCAGCTTGCACGGACCCTAGCTTCATGTTTCTTGGTGCTTTGTGCTGTGCAGTTCACAGGTAACAGAAGAACACTATGTTAGTCTCCTGTGTATACTTGAAAAATAATCACGTAAAGCAATCTGTTCTTTTACTTCCTTTTAATTTTGTGGAAGAAGCCTCAATAATCTTCTTCCTTACAAGTAAAAGCTGAATCTTTGGCCACCTTCTCCTGTAGAAGGCACCTTGTACTCTTTCCTTCTAATATTAAACAGATGGGAAGATAATAGTTGAAACTTAGCCCTTGCCGCATGCATAATGAGGAATGCTAAAAGCTGGCAGAAATATTAGTTCTTGACCTTGGCAGTTCTTTTCTAAATTTTTCTTTGTCAGCTTTTTGTCCTCTTTACCTCCAGGCAAGATCTTTGCTTACTGGAGGGGAGGAAGATTCACTTTAGACCGTGTAATTATCACATTGTGCTGCACAAGTAGCATTCCCCTGCTCCTGCATCATAGTAGAGTTTTGATTTGTTACTGATTACCAGATACTCAAGAAGAGAAAAAAAACGAATGGCATGGTTATTATTACCCTATGGTTTTATTTTTAAATGATCAAGACCTATTAAAATGGATAAGATAAAGAGTTTGCTTAAATATTATCTCTGTTAGAATTACTTGCCCATGTTCTTATTTTTTCTTGACCTCTTATGTTGATTTTGAAAAACTGTGATGCATCCCATTTCCCTCTAGTCAGATGTTTTTCCTTTTCTTAGTTCCTGTATTTTTTTTTTTTTTGTACTTTAGATGAAGGTTTACAGAGCAAACAAGTTTCTCATTAAGCAGTTAATACACATATTGTTTTGTGACGTTGGTTGCCAACCCCACAACATGTCAACACTCTCCCCTTTTCGACCGTGGGGTCCCTAATACCTACCAACTTTCCTGTCCCCTCCTACCTTCTCATCAATGCCCCTGGGCTGCCGTGCCCATTTAGTCTCATTTTGTCTTATGGGCCTGCCTGTCTAATCTTTGGCTGAAGGGTGAACCTCAGGAGTGACTACATTACTGAGCTAAAAGGGCGCCCAGGAGCGATGCTCTTGGGGTTTCTCCAGTCTCTCGGACCATTAAGTCTAGCCTTTTTTTTTTTGTAAGTTAGAATTTTGTTCTCATTTTTCTTCAGCTCTGTCTGGTACGCTATATTGTGATCCCTGTCAGAGCAGTTGGTGGTGGTAACCAGGTGCCATCTAGTTGTACTGGACTTAGTCTGGTGGAAGCTGTACTAATTGTGATCCATTAGTCCATTGGACTAATCTTTTCCTTGTGTCTTTGGTTTTCTTCTTTCACCCTTGATCCAGATGGAGTAAGACTAGTGGAGTATCTTAGATGGCTACTCACAGGCTTTTAAGACCCCAGACGCTACTCACCAAAGTAGAATGTAGAACATTTTCTTTATAAACTACATTGTGCCAGTTGAGCTAGATGTTCCATGAGACCATGGTCCCGAGAACCCTGAGCCCAGTAATTTGGTCCCTCAGGGAGTTTGGATGTGACTATGGAGCTTCCATGACCTTGCCTTATACAAGTTGTGCTGGCTTCCCCCATATTGTGTACTGTCTTACCCTTCACCAAAGTTACCACTTATCTGTTGTCTGCTTAGTGTTTTTCCCTCCCACTCCTCCCCATGTGTTCTTAAGACTATGCATGTGATAATCCTCTGTATGATCATTGGTGTGAATAATGTTTTGCTGCCCTAAACTATAGGTAAATTCTCATCTAAGCTTTAGGGTAACCTTTGCCTTGTATATTCTTTGTATAATATTCAGATCTCAATATCAGTATCTTCCTATCTTTCCACAAACCAATTTTCTAATTAAAAGGAAACATTCAGATTTGTACCGTACTTTTTATTTACATTTACAAAGCAAGATTATAGTTCTTTTATTGGTTATAGAAACCAGTGTAGGTTATAATACTTTGGGGAACTCTCCCAGGTAAAAGTGAGTGAAACCTTGAACATACTGGTAATGAGAATTACATAAAAGCTGTGATGATGACAGAGGTATCTCTGGTATCTCACTTTGTCTCATAATGCTATTCCTAAATTTTTGGTTTCGGTTGCTAAAATCTAACAAATCAATTTGCTTCTGTGTTCATTTTATAAATTGTGCATGCTTGTAGAACATTCTCGATGTCTACTTCGGGTTAGATGTTAGAGACACTATTCTGTACTGTGACATTTAGTGCTTGGTCAAACTGTTTATGCTAGGATAATTCCATTTTTAACTTGGAATGGCCAGGATCCATTGCTCAGAATACCTGTCCAGCTGATTTGGTACTATTTGTTCAGTTTTAGGATATAATTAAATGTTAAAGGTTAATGAATAAATGTAATAGTCATATCATTCTCTCTCTCTTTTTTTTCTTTTAAAATTGCTTTTAATAGCAGACTACTGTCTTTACCTCTTCTGTCCAGGCTTTCCCGTCTAGCACTCAGAACAGACGGATAGTTTTTCTCTTTAAGGAGAGATCATATACTTGGGGAGAAGTTTCAAGGTACAATTTGTAATGACTTGACATTCTACACATGGGCTTTTTGTTTGCTTTTTGCTTTGGGGGTTCGTTTCTGGTTTTGCTTTAAGCATAGCATAATGCCTTGTGTGTATTGTGATTTGACCTGCGAAATTCTGCTCATTAGGGCCACCGCTTGCCCGTTTAGTGCCTTTGTGCAAAGGAAAAGGAGCCTTTTCTCTGGGAGAAGGCCTCACAAGAAGATGCAGTCCTTGGTGAGCAGAATGGACTGGCTTTCAGCCGCCAGTCACCCTTGACCAGTTGCTCTCATGCAGCAGACAGCCTGGAGCACCCTGCATGGGAGAAATTTTGTTTCTAAACTTTGTGCTGATTTGGATTTGTTTTGAGAAGTCCATTGTAGCAAAAGTTGTTTGGATTTTTAAAAATTTTATGTGTATATGAAATTTAAAGCTGAAATATAACAGGAAAAGTAATATTTCCTTTGAAGAATCTTATGAAAACCTAATAAAGTTTTTATTCCAAAAATAGTACTATTTTAAAATTACTAGTTATTCTCTATTTTTATATAATGCCTCATATTAAACTTTATTTCATTAATAATAACTACCTATATATATTCTTTAATTTTAAATTTCCCATAACATTTAGAATATTTCATATCCTATAATTCACGTGTTAGCATATCATGCAATTAATTGTCTAGTACTTTGTGATAGTAGTTCTATAAGTCTTATAATTAAACATTTGGTGTTTCCCACTTCCTCAGGTACTTTGGTCTGGGAAGCCATATGGTTCATCTCGAAGTATCGTAAGAAAAATTGGTACCAATTTATCTCTGATTCAGTGTCCAAGAGTTCAGTTTCAGGTAATATTTTTTTTATATTTCAAAAATTGGTATTATGTGCATTAGAAATATAAATAGATAAGACAATTTTAGAAGTATTTTTGTTGTTTTTAACAATTTAGCAGTAAAAGAGGATTGTAAAGTCTCTAATTTTAGTTTCTCTTTTAAGTGATTATTCAAAATCTTTAAGACACTTATGCTTCTTATAATGCATGTGTGAAGATTTAGAAGCATATAATAATAAGCTAAGCATGTTTATTTCCCGGGTGTCCTTGATCATAGGCCTTACTTTACTTCAGGAGACTCAGGTACCATCATTGTTTCCTCCTGTCGTTACGTCTTCCTCTTTGCGCAGCCACTCTGTTCCCGGAGTTTATTTTTGAATGTCGCTGTAGATGCCGTCTAAGTTGCTTTCTCCTTCATTGGTTTACAACTCAGCAGTACTTGTAGGAACCACTGCCTTGGGAATGATGTTATCAAGACAGAAGAGGTGATTGTGGTTCTCTGGGTGAGGTGATAGTCAAATCCTGAATTAGGAGTACTTTTGAAAGTTCAGGTCTTAGTATTCTAACACCAAATTAAGAGCAGGTCTGCTGTTTGCTTGGAGAAAAAGTGCTATTTTCTTTGATTTGTGATTTTGTTACTATTGTTGTTACAGTGTTAGACGTATATCACATAGCTCTGTTCTTATTTTTCAGTAATTCTCTACAACAGCAATATGACAGAAAAACCTTTCAGTTCAACCTTAATAATATAAAGTTCAGCACATACCTGTACCAATTTTAAATAATAGATTAACATGTAGAGATATGGAAGTTGTATTTAAATAACTTATAAATCAGAAGCTCAGAAATTCCCCTGCTTGCTTAATTGATATCATGTCTACTCATAAATTATTCCTGTTGGTAGAGAGGTAAAAATCTATTCCTAAATAAGTAGAAGTTGGCATGTGTTCAGCTTGACTAACAAGCTTGTTCATTGTTGTGTTCATATTTCTGTTTGCAAATTGGGTAAACCTTGTGCCTCAATCTAGAAACTGACAGATTGAAACGCTCCAAGAAGTAATTTTTTTTTTAAATAATCAAATGTAGAAAATCTGTGGTAACTAGCCTCTCAAGCACACTTTCCAAGAATTCAGTTCATTTAGACACATTTAGATAGCTGATTGCTTTACTTGCCAACTTCCTTCAAATTACTGTTGTGTTAACTGTGGCTTATTTTTTATGATCGTTCAGCTCCATCAAATTTTTTTTTTCTATGTATCCAATCTCCTGGAGCCTGGGTGGTGCAGTGGTTAAGGCATTCGACTGCTTATTAAAAGGTTGGTGATTCGAACCCACCAGCTGCTCCGCAGGAGGAAAACGTGGTAGTCTGCTTCTATGAAGATTACAGACTTGGAAACGCTGTGGGACAGTTCTGCCCTGTCCTATAGGGTCTTAGTCAGTAGGAATCAACTCGACGGCAATGGGTTATCCCATCTCCTAGTTGCAGGAGAGCTTGCTTCAGCGTTTGTATTTATGTAGCTACAGACACGTAAGAGGACATGGAAATATCTAGCATTTTCTGGTTGCAACACAAATCTGCTTTGACAGCCAATGGGCAGAAGTAACCACAGCCACATACATTTCCTTGGGAGGATTCTTTTTCTAAGTGTTGTTATCAGTCGCTTAACAGTATAAAGCAAAACGAAACGAAAGTATTACATCTAGCGCAGGAACTACACTGAGAAAAGCTGGATTAACAGAAGCAGAGCAGTAAGGTGAGACAAACATTGGTAACCTCCTTGAGATTGCAGTGGAAGATGAAAGACATTTGTTTAGACTGAGATTTTTATTTCCAGGCAGTTTTGTAGCATACTCTTTTCAAGGTCAACATCAATATTAAATATTTTGTTTGCTACTTAGCTAGATATTTTATATCAGTTTTATTCCTTTATGTCTTCCTTTCTTACATCTATCAGAAACACAAGTGTAGAGTCTTCAAAAATACAGAGGATGCCATTAAGAGTAATAAAATTGAAAATGCAGTTTTGCTATTTTTTGGCTCATTTTGGGGCGGATTGATACAGAATGTGTCTGGGCTGTCTAGGAGTCCAGCCTGGGTAATACTACTGTAGAAAGCCCAGGTCTGCAAAGCCACAGTGGCCCCAGGGAGAGCAGCCACCTTTATAGGACCATATTTAGGAGACAGAAGTTAATTGGATTAAACGGAAAAGATGGCATTCCTGGGGTCAGTTCAGAAGCAGGAGTTAGTAGTCAAAACCAGTCCAGTTTCAGCTGTCGTCTGGGTGTTGTCAGTGTCTTTGAGAGGACCGATCTGAAACTGAGCCTCATAAAGTCTTCGCTTCCTCTGTTCCTTTTGACGTTCGCTTCCACTCCATTGTTAGTGCCCACACTTCAACTCTGTCATCCCCCAGATGGTTTCACCTCTGAAATCTGAGCCTCACTGTTCCTCATAGAAGGCAGCTTTTTTTCCACTGTCCTGGCCAATCTGTGTGTCTGTGGTCCAGCTTTAGAGTGCTAGGCAAGATAGGCACGCTGCTTTGTGTTGTGAGAGTTAGATGAGATAATCCATGGATAGCCCTGAGTGTAATAACTGGTACATAATAAAAGCACAGTAAAAGAGCTGGTGCCAGTGGTGCTTTTGTCATTGGTATTATCACCTTACAGGGGCGTCGCAGATTACCTTATTTGGCTCTCCAGTGTAACTCCCTGATTTTACAGATTGGGTTTCTGTGTATTCATGGAGTCACAAATCAGAATACAGACTAGCACATTTAGTCACGCCTTCATCCAATTAACGGGGACAACTACTGTACTGGGAATAAAATGAGGTAATAAATGTAAGAAAGCATATAAAGAACACTCAGTAGATGTCTTTACTATGTGTTATTTGAAGACTTACCAGAAACCTCATAGGCTTTTCTGGCTTTCTCTGTACTTCACTTAGTGAACTCTAGCAATGAGTTGAAGTCCCTGGGTGGTACAAACAGTGTGCACTTGTCTGCTCACCTAAAGGTTGGCAGTTTGAACCCACCCAGTGGTGTCACGGAAGAAAGGCCTGGTACTCTGCTTCCATAAAGATTACAGCCAGGAAAACCCTATGGAGCAATTCTACTCTAACAACACATGGGGTTGCCATGAGTTGGAATCGACTCAATAGCAACGGGTTTTTGTTTTTTTGTTTTTTAATCAATGAGTTGGTTACTTTACATGCAAAACAGAATCTCTAGAGTGTTCACATTTACTTTAATTAAAGAAATAATTTTCCCTGGCCTTCTTACACCTGTCAGATGTATACATTTCAGCCTTAAGTGACAACTACACAATTCTAGTCATAACCACTTTGTGTACTTGGATAGTGTGGCCCCTTGGATGTAGGAACCCATATTAAGGCAGACTCCAAGGACAGTCCTTTGCTGTCTCCTAGTTATTCTAGATTCATGAAATCAAAAGAGAATACAATTGACTTACGCAGGGAGAAAATTCAGATCATAGAGGGGTTTGCAAGAGCAGTGAGATTGAGGGATTGAGAGGAATGAGGTGCAGAAGTTTTGACTTAAGTGGGTCTCAGCACTGGGTGCATACTTGAGTCATGAGGAGCTTTTTAAAAACAAAAATACGCATGCTTCAGGCCCTATCCTCCGGTGTGGTTCTGGGTACCCTAACTCCTTACAAAAACTCTTAGGGAGCTTTAATTAGAAAATTCTGTTTCATAAAAGGCTTACCAAATCTGAATTTCATACATTTGTTTTTTTAAAACCTCTTCAGGAGCTTCTTGCTCAGCTAAGCTTGAGGACCTCGGGCCTAGGTTGTGTTTTAGTATTTTGCTAAAGAAGGTTTTCTTTAAAGCAGTAGCATGATTATGAAAGTAAGCACTAGAACACTTTTGGGGTACATAATTTATAAATTTTAAATTGTATGAGCTAAAGAAAAACATGGAACGTAAGTGCAGCTTACTGGGGTAATATTAAATACTACAGTTAAAAAGAACCAAACTTAAAGGCCCCAGAAAAGTGATTCTCCAGTGTCATGGAACACTTTATGTACAAACTATCGAAAGGGAAACTACTTTGCTCCTAGTAAACTTTCACCTAACGCACAATAAAACAATTTTTAAAAAGTGATCCTGAGTACTACTGGACGAAGGAACTTTGAAATAACCTCGGGTGAAGGGTGGGGACCTGGCAGTGGTTTGAGTCTCAGCTGTATCACTGACAGACTTCTAAGTAATTTAACCTGGATTACCTTTTCCCTGTAGTAACCCTGACCAGTTGCCGTCAACTCGATTCCAGCTCATGGAGAGGGAACCCCCTTTGTGTCAGAGTAGAACTCTATATAGAGTTTTCAATGGCTGATTTTTTTGGGAGTAGATTGCCAGGTCTTTCTTCTGAGGTGCTTCTGGGTGAACTTGAACCTCCACCCTTTCACTTAGCAGCCAAGCATGTTAACTATTTGCACCACTCTGGAACTCCCTAGTCACCCTACCCTGACGTATTTTCTTGAGCTGCTAGATGTGGTTGTTGGAATTGGTGGCAGAGGGAATGTCCCGTATGCAAACAGCTAATGAATGAATCTCCCCCTCTAGTTCACGTACCATGACTAAATCTGGAAGTAAAATGGCCACTTTCTGCTAGGTGCTGGTGTTCACTGCTGCCTTTTATTGGGTATAAGGTTCAGTAGGAGAGAGATTAAACAAGGAAATATGCTAATAAATATCAAATTACAAGTTGTAGTAAACGCCATGAAGGAAAAAGTAGCATAGCATGGGGAGAATACCACGGTGGTCAGGGAGGCCTCTCTGAAGGCCTGATGATTAAGGATTAGAAAGAGCCAGGCCTGCAAGAGAGTTGGGGAGAATAGTGAAGGGGGACTGTGCGGGCAGAATGCAAAGCATGCACAGAGGTCCTGAAGCAAGATAGAAGTTATTCTTTAAGGAACTGAGAGAAGGCTAGTCTGACAAGACCTAGTGAGGTGGAACAAATGAGGTGTTTGGCATCTGAGCCACCTGAAGACGTACAA